CGCCTCCGTGTCCTGCAGCCCGCCTCCGTCCTGTGGGGTCTGCGTGCCGCTTCCTGCCGTGAAACCCCTTCAGGTACCTCCGAAAGGCTGCAGCAAGGCGTGACTGGGGGGAGAAGCCGGGTTTATCCCTGTGTATGGGTTATTGTAGCCTTCGGGCAAGCTCCGTTAAAGTGTCTTCCGTTTGCATTTCAGTCACTTCTCACCAGTATAAGTGGTTGTGGAAAGAGCAGGGAGGTAGTCCCGGTGACACGGTTGTGCAGACAGGCTGCAATAGCAACGCAGGTGTCTGAATGTTACCTTGGAAAGGGGCAAGAATTGGCATTTCTTTCCTAGCAGGGCATGGATACGGCTAACCAGTCTTTTGTAATCTCATACACTAGCGTGTGTTTTGATTACCTGTGAGGGAGGACAGTGGCTTGGGAACTGTGAAATCCTGATTTAATTCCCAGCCCAATCACTTCCTGCACTCTCCTGAGAAAATTGTCTGTCCTCTGTGTCTGTTTCGTTATCTGTGAGCAGAGAGAGTAGTACTGATGTGCTCTCAGGTGTATTAGGAAGCCACATTGAGAGTTATTGCATTGCAGGGATTTCTCAGTCGAAACTGAGGTACTATTCAGTCAGGCTGCACGTGTGCCTTTGATGAAAAGGATCCCGAAGAGACTTTACACTGAGAACCAAGAAATCTTTGTGTGGAGAGTGCAAAAGATTGCCCGCTCAGGTTGAGACCATTTGTACCTGCAGGTGTAATGAAATGGAGTAAAGTGTATTTTTAGAAGTTGACTAATAAAGGAAGCTGGCTGGGTTGCCTTCACAAGTCTTAATTTGGTTAGGCATGGCAAAACAGTGCAAACACCGGTGTGACTGTACCACCCCCATGAGGGCAGATGTGGTCCCAGTGGTCACAAAATGAGACAGGTTCTCTGGTGTCTGGTTTTCTTCACCAGAGTAGAGGTTACATGCTATACTTGAGAGTTATCGGATACCAACATAACACTAAAACCCCCTTATCTGCTAAGTTCTTTGTTTGGTGTCTGAATAATATGCATCGGAAGTTTTTTCTTAGTTGTTTGTAAACAAATAACTTATTTTGTTGAACTTGTTAATAAATAGTGTTTTATGTTTCAAAAGCAACCTGTTGGTGCTGGGAGACAACATGCACACCAGAAATGTCAGGCAACAGCTGAAGACAAAGACCTCTCTTTACAGGGACTTAAATAGAGCCTTTGTAGAAAGGGTATTTTTATCACTTCAGCTTTCCAGTTAACCCAAACCACTTTAATTGTACGATGTAGGCTGGTAAGCTACTTACAGGCCACAGTTCTTTTTGCCTTTTAGGCTAAGAAAGGAACAGAAATTATGTACGCACGCTTTATCGATAGCTGATGTCAAAGGAAAAGGTTCGATGTGCAGGCCTACAAGGTGGATCAATTCTTCACAAAGAACTAAGGTAGATGCTGTTTTGGAGCTGTATAATGAGGAAGGAGGAAGTCTGAGCTGGCCTCTAATAGACCTAATAATAAACATCTTTGCAGTTGGCATTATTTGGCAGCATCAGTAGAAGGAAAATTCTGAAAACAGTGTGGAATCTGAACAACTTTCCCACTAGCAGGAGTAGATCCTTTTAGGGAACAGACCAGACAGTGTGCAGAAATTTTGCTGAGATATTGTGTGAATCATTTTTGCTCCCCAGATAAATCAGCATTCGAACCTGCTGAGTTCCTGGCCTGCCCTCTGAATGCTGAAGAAAAGCCTGGCTCTGCTGACACCAGAAAGTTACTATGCTGAGCGTATCTTCTGATCCACTGCCAGACAGGATTCAGCAGAGGAGAAAGGATGTATTAATATCATGTTCTTTTATTGACAGATTGAAAACCTAGAATGGCAGGAGAACAGAAACCGTCCTGCAATCTTCTAGAGCAGTTTATTTTACTAGCCAAAGGTACAAGTGGCTCAGCTCTGACTGCTCTTATAAATCAAGTGTTGGAGGCTCCAGGGGTTTATGTCTTCGGAGAGCTATTGGAGTTAACAAATGTGCAAGAGGTAAGAGATGAGTTTCTATCCTAATATCCCTTCTGCACTCCCAGTATAAGGGTTCCCCAGAAGTTTTCACAGACAGCCTGTGCGTGAAATTTCTGTGCCAGGAAGGGCCTGGTACAACTTATCTGGGTTCTGAGATGTTTGTGTATGAGAGATTGACGTTGCTTTTGCCTGTATATATTAGACGTTAAAAAATACCTGTATAAAGCTTTGCTACCTTAATGCGATTGCTAATACAGCAAAAACCTGGCAGCAGCACAGTAACAATTTTAAGAAGGTACCTGGCCAGTCAACCACAAAAAAATCCCTTTCTACTCCTTTGTTGTCCTGGAAAGCATAACTTCAGCGCTTTCCAAAAGTCTTCATGAACAGATGTCTAGTGTATCAGGCCTGGGTGGTAACCAAATCCAAACCATTTCAAACCAAGGTGGAAAGTGAGTTCCAGAGCTTTTACTGAGAATGGCTCGCCAGCACCCCCTCTACTACAATGAGGGAATCTGGGTTGATTATCTCTGCAGCTGGGGTAACGTGGCGTACAGCAGGTTTGGCTTTCCAAATGGGCTATTAGATATGCCGAAAAATGCCTCTATGGTTATTCAACATCAAATTGCAACTATGTTTTTTTCCTGGATCTGTGTGCAGCAAATGCTATTAAAAAAAAACACTCAATAAAAATCACTGCTTGGTGCTGCAGTTATTCCAGTGAAGTGTTTGCGTGCGAGGGGAATGCTATTACTTTCAAATGCACTCAACTTAAAATGTTCCAGCTTGCTTTGCTTTGAAGTTTTGTGGCTCTGCAGGTAAGCTGTCCTAGCTTTCCCAGTAATAGCAAGGATGCTTAACCAACCAACACCATTGCCTGCTTGCTTGTCACATGATGAAAAGAGCTGGCCCTGTAGGATGTCAGCTGAAATTAAGAGTCGCCTTTTTCTTTTACCTCCTAAGGTGCCGCACAAAGCAGTTGACAGTCCAAACTGTAGTTAAGTTCTGGTGCATAGAAACGGCTGAATCATCTTTACTCTGAAACAGCTGAAATTTGCTCATGAGACCTTAGAAAGGGTCCAGCTCTTTAAGATCGGGACATAATTGCTTTTCTGGGTACTGTTTGTCCTATATAGTCTGAAAACATTCTCTGGAGAAGTTGTCTACTGGTATCATGTTGGCTGTTAACGACGTTACGTAGAATTTCTTTTGTTTTCTTCCCATCCAGCTTGCTGAAGGATCTAATGCTGCTTATTTCCAGTTGCTGAATCTGTTTGCGTACGGAACATACCCAGACTATGAAGGTAAGAGACTGCCACCTGGTTGGCCTTTAGAATTGGCAAAGGCAGTTCTTTGCTTTCTGTGGTACCTGGTGTAGTGTGGCTGGGTGAAACTGTCCAAGAACAGAATTTGCTTGGGAGGAGAGTTGTTCACAGGGGGTCTCTGGGTCATACTTGCTTTTTAATTGCTAAAATGTGGAGGAAGGGCTAGAGACGATGGTGGTTTACTGGTTTGGTTTGGATTGCAGCACTGGATTGAATTGGTTTGTAAGCATTCATTGACGTTCACAGGCCGCTTACCTCTGCGGAGTGCAATTCCAGACATCTGTTTTGAAATTTAGATGACACCGGTTATGGAAGCTGCAGAAAACTTGGACAAAATTGTTCTGCATTATTTAGAAAAACCTATATGGTTTGTGGGATAACCTTTTATTCTGTGACGGCATTGCTGAAACAAAATTTAGCATTTCTTAGCTAGAATACAAATTAAATAATGACTTTTATACAGCTTCAGAAGGACTATGTGTGAATCAGCTTAGTATCTGTCGAGATGTGCTTTTATCTCTGGTGCTTATGCTTCCATTCTACTACAATTTAATACTTCATTTGTGGGTAGCAGCCTAATCCAGACCATTACAGAGTGTGACAAATAATTCTGTCATAGTGCTGGCTATCACTGTGGTGGATGAGCTATCTAGTTCCTGTAGGGAGAAGTGGCATCCTTAAGTGCAAGGACTGGAAATTCCAGTGGCTGTGGAGCAACACGAGCCTCATGAATTCTGTGACTGATTAGAGGATGTTTGCTGTGCATGGGTCTTGTGTCCCAGCATGTGACAGCGAGTTCGTTCTTCTATTTCTAGTGAAGAAAGAGAAGGGGGAAAAGTAGTCAAAATGCAGAGCATTGAATGAGGTGGAAGAACTTGAGTGGCCCTGAAGCACTAATTTCCATTAAAGCAGATATTTTAAAGAGTTTCTTTGCTTTGGAAAGCCGCCAGTTTCCTTTCTGTTTTTAAATATTCATGAGGCACATGAGTATGATACAATGACAATGAGGCCATGTAAGCATCTAGATTAATAATTTCTCCTTTCTTCCTCAGCCTGGTACTTTACACTTTCAACCCTAAATTCTGCAGCTCTCCAGAGAAATAAAACCAGCTGTATTTACAACCAGATCAGCAAAGGGGGAAGATTTTATTTTGTCAGCTCATTAATGAAATAAAAATGACTTGGTGGTAGAAACAAAGCATTGACCAACCGTTTTGGCAGGACACCACTTGTGTAGATGTGAATTATGTTCTAAGTCCAAAACCAGAATTACTAAATAAGCAGAGAAGAATGGAATTGCCAACTTGTTTTTTAACTTTTCCTGTCTCTCCCTGGGTGCGCTAATCTGTCATCATCAGCAGCTCTCTCTGCTCACCAGCACCCACAGTAGCTGGAGGAGTTCAGCCTTTCAGGGTTTAGTGTAGTGCAACTACACTGATATTCTGCAGCCTGAATTTTGTAATTCTTGAAGGAAAGTCCTGAATGTTGTCTTTTTAACATCAACAGCGAACAAAGATAACCTGCCTGAATTAACAGCGACTCAGAAAAACAAGCTGAAACACTTGACGATTGTAAGCCTGGCTTCCAGAATGAAGGTAAAGTACACTGTGTATGATAGCAGTCTTCTTTTTGTTTGTTTTTGTTTTTGAAAATGGCATCAATTCCATAGCATTGAAATTGTGTCAGACTGCATGAGTACTCACAAAAAATCCTGCAACTAGGAAAGTACCTGTAATGTACAGCATTCTCTCATGATGCATTTGGGACATTAACTTAGTGGACTTCCATGGATGAGATATGGGGGTGTCTGAACTGCCATGCAAATTGGTCAGTAAGAGCTGTGAAACTTTGTATGGCTTCTTTCGCTGCTGGAGATGGAGAATCATTCTTAAAAACACTGACTTTTTGTTCTAGAGAAAACTAAGCAACACTCTTAATTTCTTCTACAATCCCATTACCTTTTTTCCTTCAGAGCATGCTACGCCAAAGCTTCAGGAATTACCAAAGTTGTGTCAGAACATTATGTAGCCTAGTAGCAGGCATTTGTTCTGTTACAATCAGTCACTGCTGTACTTGCAGGTTAAAGTGTAGGATACAATAAACATTTGGGTCTTGACCTTCTGAGAGTTAGCTGTTCATTTTGGCTCTAGGACTGTTAACTTATTCTTGGACTTGCTGTTTTTAGTGCATTCCATATTCTGTGTTGCTGAAGGACCTGGATATGAGGAATCTGAGGGAGCTGGAAGATCTGATTATTGAAGCGGTTTATACAGATATTATCCAGGGGAAACTGGATCAACGAAACCAGGTGCTAGAGGTGGATTTTTGTATCGGCAGAGACATTCAGAAGAAGGACATCAGAAACATTGTCAAAACACTCCAGGAATGGTGAGGCAGTCTCTCCACCTTCCTTGTTTCTTGTACGTAGCTTGTCCTGTCTTTTTCTTATTCCTCAAAGTTTCAAGTGCTGGCTCAATTTCACGATGTTCCATTAATCAGGAGTCTTAGGCCATAAGGAGGCACTTGAAGGAGGAGTCTATTGGGCAAGTTTTCCAAGATCCCATCTAGGATTCAATTTGTGTTATATATCAAGCCAAACTATACTAGGTCTTGAGATTCTGCTCTCACCATAGCTTTTACATGGCAGAACCCTAGCGAGGAGTCAAGGGTCTTTTCAAACAGACATGCCAAACTGGACTTATGGTCTTATGGTGGGAGCTACTTCCCTTTCTGCTGTTACACTTGATAACAAAAACAGAACTGTCCATTACTTTTCAGCCTTTTTCACTGTGATGAGAACTGCACTGGCAAATTCTAGAGAATCACAGTTCTTTGGAGGGGATATCTCTGCAAGTTTGAAGTTTCAGATGCCTTTGTTTGCCTTTTCTTTGTTCTTGCAAATGCAGGCTGCATGCAACCATATTGGGACTGTGGTACCATCTTTTTGTACATTTGCCAGGAAACTGCATCTCATCTTTTTGTAGGATTCCCTTCCCACCCAAAGAAATTCCCCTGTAGAGCCTGTGGCAGGTTCTGAGCTGACTGGGAATTCCGTCCTAGTTGCTATGGTAATGGGTGCATGAAAAGTAATTAAACTGCTATGCAAATATGCTGTCCTGAGGTGGGGGCAGGTTTTTTGCTTCTCTACTCCAACTCCCTCAATCCCATCTCAGCGGGAGGGCTCTGGCAGCCTCCAGGACCTTACAGCCTTGTTTGGAACAATGAACCCACTGCCAATTCCCTTTCTGTCCTCTCCAGTTAAGAGTTCTGTGTTGGAGGAGTGTGCTTGTCTTTTGAACACTTAACAGGCAGGGGGATTCTCTCAATCTGACTTTTGTTTAATTTTAAAATATTACGTGCTTTTGAAAAGTGTGTTGCATTCCCGTTTAAGCAGTAATTCTGGTTGAAAAGGAAGTTGAAAGTGCATTGAACCTGCACTTACTTTTTGATAGGCAGGTAAGAATAACATGGACTCTCTAAAGAATGCTGTGAAATACATTGAGTAAACAGCAAAACTTTTTCTTGCCAGCTTTTTGGAACTCTAATCTTCAAGCAGGAAGTATAAATTTAATAATCTCCTAAACTCTTAGGCTAGCATGACTTTTCAGATTGCCAGATTGAGCTGCGCCAGAGAGAACTCATAAACACTGTTTGACATGTTTGTATCTTGCAGGTGTGATGGTTGTGAAGCGGTTCTTTTAGGAATTGAGCAGCAAGTACTTAGAGCCAACCAATACAAAGAGAACCATCACCGAACTCAGCAGCAGGTAGAGATGGAGGTGGGTACAGAGTCACTTCAGACCGCTCTATTCTTTTTGATAAATGTTAATTTACTGAAGAAAATAATCTGGTAACACCTGGTTAATGGTCATGGCTTCTCTGAAGTAGGCTAGCAATCATGCAAATCAGATATGCTGGTTTGGGGTAGGAAGAAAACACATCTGCTTCCGTGTGCTTAATAACACCACAAACATCAAATTTGCCCACTCTGAGCAGGCTGGAATTTTTCTTTATAAAAATACACTAGGTGGGTGCGCTAGCTATAGTTTCCTGAATTGATTTGTTAGGAAAAGTGTGCTTTTAACACAGAGGTTGGATGCAATTCTGTTCCTTTTGTGCAAGGCAGGAGGGAAGGAAAAAACAGTTCACTTTGTTTTAAACCTGAAAGTGTAATTAACAAAAGTCTCTCGAGTCTCATTGCTTTTGCAAAAAGTGCCCTCAGCAGCTTCCTTTGGGGTCTTTCTCTTGGGGTCAAGTTGAGCACCCAGACAGGGCTCTCTGACATGCTTTCTTCAGCAGCGTGGCCTGGGAGCGCTCCTGTCTCTGCATGCGCAGCTAGGCGGTAGATGGCAGCACGGGCACGCGATTTTAGCCACTGCTGATGTGTATTTACTTATGAGAACAAATCTTGGCTAATACAGCTGTAAAGGTGAAAATGGTCCTCCCGAGACACTTGCTCAGGGTTTATTTCTTGCAGAGTGCTGCATCCCTGCAGGTTTACGTTTGCCTTCTGAAGCAGCATATGCTTGGCGGCTTGATTGGCATCAATAGTGCATTTGGTTTGACAGATGCCTTTGGCCTGGAGTTGGCACACCTGACTCCAAACTTGTTTTTGCCTGTGGGTTTTTTTTAAGGTTTGCTTACTGTATTTCTGGTGAGCCCTACAGGGTTCCAGGGGACAGAGTATGCTGCCTGGTGCTGTATCTCTCCTTTTCAGCCAGAGTAGCGGAAGCACTACTGCTGCCTCCCACGAAACCAATTTCTGTTCCTGCTTCTAGCAAATATCTGTGGCTCAGGCAGCCAGCTAGGCCAAATGGCATTTTCCCTTTTCAAGCTCTGTCTTAAGTGTAAGTTTGTTTCTTTCACAGTCTCCTTTGTCCTTCCTGCTTCTGCCCAACATAATGGTAGGATGGCTGCCTTCCACGCCAAGGCAGTAGTAGGTCCCTCCAGCTAGCCAGAAAGGTGGTACAATATTGTGCCATTGTGTCTCAGAAAAAAGAAAAGTAATCTCTAGTTACTCCATATTGGACCCAGACTGGAAATATTAACAACTCTGGCTATAAGTGAGGATGAAACATTACCTTTAATAAAAGCAAGTGCAGAGCATGTTTCTGTTGGGAGAGTTTATTTTATAATCTCCACTATATACTCCAGGGGTTTTTCAATATGGTTATAAACAGAGTTTCTACTGCAAGGGGAGGAAGAAGCAGGTGCTGATTCACTGTCTCTTCTTGGCCAGGTCACAAACATAAAGAAAACATTAAAAGCTACAGCCTCGTCGTCGGCACAGGAGATGGAACAGCAGCTGGTAGAGCGAGAGTGCCCTCCACACACAGAACAAAGGCAGCCCACAAAGAAGATGTCCAAAGTCAAAGGGCTGGTCTCCAGCCGTCACTAGAACTTACCATCTAAATGTCATTCAGCTAGGAATGACAACAGGAGGAGTGAAAAAGGGCCTGCGTCTCCTTTTTCAGTGGGTTCTGGGCCAGTCCCTTTCAGGCTGGCAAATAAAAGCCCTGTTTGAATACAGCTCCCAGTTAGCAGCACCTGGCTAAGTTACACTGTGCAGCCCCTATTAATTTCCAGGGTGTCCCTGTTCTCGTCCTGTAAAGGGGGACTTCTAAAGAGAGGGACTTAACCAAAAGGGGCAGGGGGAAAAAAACTATCTGTGGGCAGTTTTGCTCCCTCCCTCCCAGCCAGTCTCATTGCTGCTTAACCTTGAGGAAGCTGCTGCACTAAATCAGATCTTGGGAGAACTTCTATAGCCAGTGTCTGAATCCCAGGGTTGAAGTGTGGCTACCAAAGCCAGGCTGGGAGCGAGGAAGCCATCCACACAGATCTTTTATTCCCAAAAGGAGCACAGAAAGGTTTCTAGGCCAGGAACTGCTTTACATGGAAGTCTTCAGCCTTTCTGCTACCCCTGTCTATTTTAAACTGGGGTGAAATTCACACTACCTCGCTCTGTGAAGATGAGATCCAGTGCTGGGCTATTTACTTAACTGTCTGTTTACTGCCCTTACTAAGCCCTTTAATCTCTCACAGATTTAAAGCACTGTTCTGCATCTCTGAGGCATCAATACAATAAGGAGGAAGCAGGCTGCTCTTTCAAGCCTTCCTTTTTGCAGGTGGTTAGGGGCATACTAGAAACTGTTTCTTCTGAATGTGATGTGACCTCCCAGAGCTGCTTGTGAGTTGTTTTCCCCCATTGATACCTTCAAAGGGTAATGCATTCGCTCTTCCTTGGATGCTAGCGACAGAGGTCTGCATGGGAGAAGAGCCCCTTTAGCATCGTGGCAGGCTGGTGGCCCAGGACCCACTGGCAGGGGTCGCAGCAGCATCCCCTTGCTGAAGCAATGGACTTGACTAGTCTTTCTGAATTTTGAACACTTTCAGGTTGTATTTTCCTCCCTTTTTTTGTACATTGTTGTGATTCTAAAGCATTTCAGCCTTTGTTTTGTGTTTTTTATTTGTTACAGACTAACTTCAGGTGATTTGCACCTAGTTTGGCAAGGTGTGGGTTTTTGTTTTAAGGGGGAGGATGGGGTTGGCATTGAAACAGCAATTCACAAAAAAAGCACATTTTAGAAAAAAAATTAAAAATGCTGATTTAATGTCAGAGTCTGGAGTCTTGGCTTTGAGGCTGCTTTAGGCTTGTAGTCCAACAGCACTTGTTCACTTGAGCATTTACTTGATTCTTGATGTTATGTTATCAGAAGGTCTGACTAATCTCCCTGATGCATCTGGGAGGCAGGGAAATGCTCTTCCCGTTTTGTCAGTAGTTCTTCTTTGTCCAAATTTGTGCAGAAGGATCTGTGGCAAAGCCAGTAGCTGAGCCCAGTGTCCTGAGCCTAAACAACTTTGATGCCTGATTGTGGAAGGTTTGTAGTTGTGGTCTGTCTTAGGCCAGTCGATTCCTTCCTCTGGGTCTAGCAGAGTACTGCTTTATAGTTTGGTCCCTGCATTTTACTTCACTCCATGCTGTGAAGAGAAGGCCTTTCCATGAGCGGGCAGGGGAGCTGACAGAGGACTGTGACAATGCTCCAGTCCTGCAGCCAGCTGCCACCTGCACTTACTTGTGCAATGCACGTGCCTTCCTCTTATTGCTACCAGAATTCTTTGCCGTCTGCGTGTTTTCAGCACAGGATTTGCTGTACGCTTGTGAAAGTAAATTCCTCTCCTTTTCTTCTCCTGCAATGCAGGTGTACCAGCTTTTATTCTTGAGAGTTGGATCTAAATACCTCCTATCCAGCTGCCTCTGGGTCAAGTCCCTTGGTTTCTGATTCTTTGTCAGTTCTCTCTCCCCCTAGAAATGCTAGCCAAAAAATTCCCAGTGAACGATGTTAAGTGAATAAACCCAGAGCATGAAGCCTTCCCTATATCTCAAGGGAACTGTTTCCCAAACAGTGGCAGTACTAGTTTCTGTACTAGCTTCTCCCAGTGTTTAGCTGACAGCTTCTCAGGAGGTGTAGGTGGACTTTGTGTACCCAAGTATAATAGATCTGTGTGATGGAGATGGACTGAGTCTTTCTGGCTGCCTGCGTGGGCAGCTGCAGTGTACTGGTCATCCAGCTCCTCACTAGATTTGACTAGTGAGGAGAGGTTCTGTGGTCCTCACTAGCTGTTTTCTTTCCTTCCCATTTTTAATATCAGTCCTGCAAAGAGGCAGGAGGAATACAAATGCCTTTGGAAATTGTTTTAGCTCCTCGGCAAGCCACAGTCTGCTGGGGAGATAGATGTGAATTTGGCATCCTTGGTGTTTATTCCCTGCCAGTTACAGGAGTCGCATTAGTTTTCTGAAGCTTCTTTAGCGTGTTGGAAGTTTTTGAGTTTGTTCTTACGTTTTTGCTGTTCTCAAAGCCTGGCTGGGGGTGAAGATCTTATTTATGCTTCAGTACACATTGCCTTTGATCAGCAAAGAAGCAAGGGAGGAAATAGCGCTTTGAATAAAGAGCTGTCCCATGCTTGACGGTGAAAGAGGATGGAGAAGGGAATGGGGTATTGGAGGGAACTGAGCTGTTTGCGTGTTTGGCTTTCCTGGTGTGCCAGCGATGCGCTTGGTGCCGCAAAAGGAGGGGGGAGTCTTTGCAATGAGGCCAGTCTGAGATGAGTCATTAACAAATGACATGCACAGAGTACCTGGGGGAGGCAAACAGCTCTGCAGCAGCTGGTTAATGAATCTGGCTTGAAGGAAGGAGTTAGAAGCTATTCCAGGAATGAAGCAGAAGGCATAGTTGTTAACAGGGAAGGATGCAGGAGGTGCTATGCTGTTCGAGAAGGACAACAGATAAGACTGCATTGGCTCCCTGTGACTGCAGGGAGGGCAGCAACTCGGAGCTGCGAATTGGGGGCTGGTGGGGGCTGAATTGCAGACAGTTTCGAGTGGCGAGTGCCCTGGGGAGCTCAGCTGTGCTGTGGGGACAAGAGGGAGATGGAAACAGGGGTGGATTTGATGCAAACTCCCATGTATTGCATGTGCCTGCTGGAGGCAGCTAACGCAGCTTGTCTGAGCGCTGCTGGACACTGCTCCCTGATGTGGAGAGAGCATCCTGCCCTACTTTGTTTTATGGCAGCAATGGGCTGTTCCAGCTGCAGCTCACTTCAAGATTGCAGCAGGACAGAGTTTGAGCTATTGAACTTCTGTTTGCCTCCTCCACCCGGAGGGAGACAAAGTAGATGGAGCTGCCTTCCCTCTGCTCTGCAGGGCTTTATTGTCTAGCTTCATGTTCTGCAGCTCCACTTGTAGTAGTGCTTGTTTAATATGGAATTGAGCACTGAGCTGGAAAATGGAAGAGAGGATCTCAGCTGATTGCAGTGCTGGTAGACTGCCCTAGCCCTAAAGCTGTGCCTCATGCTAACAAATGTCCCTGGCAGTCCTGCTGTGACTCAGTTGATACCAGCTAACATCAGGCAATTCTGGAACATGATAAAGCAATGCTGATGTCAATCCTTTTACAGAAAAAAAGTTTTGGCTCGAAATCTATTGTTCTTTTACTTCCCTCCTCACCTCCTTAGATACGTTGAATGCTAGCTTAGTCTTCTGTTGAGAGCAGGAGGGAAAATCAGTGATGCTGACAGACCCTTCTGTGTTCAGATTTGAGACCCATCCTGCAATCAGTCTTGTGCAGACTTCTGAAATCCCATGGGTGCTTGTGGAGCTGCTTGCAGGCTTGCAGGTCTCTCTCCATGGATTGGGTACAGGAGTAGGACCTGCAGAGCTGCTCTCCAGCGTGAAGCTGGGGCAAGTGAAGCTTTTCTTCCCATAGAAGGGAGTGGTGGTAAGAGATGGCCATTCTCCCACCAGCCCTGCAAAGTGAATTTTGCTGAACAGTTTTCTGTTCCTGGAAGAATGGAAAATGATACAGAATCCAGTGGGTGTTTTTGTTTTTGCTTTTAGTGTTCTGCTTATTCTTTGAGGGGAAGATGCATTGGTCCATGTGCGCAAAAAGGAAGTTGGGCTTATTAATTGCAGGGGAGGCAGAAGGGAGAGTGCCGTGAACTTCGATAGCTGTATTAGAACGTAACAAATTATATGGGTAAATCAGACTTTTCCTAAACTTTCAGTTCTGTACAGGTTTATATGAGTGCACCTAAGCTGTTTAGGGAGGCCTCTGCTCTTGAAAACCAAATAAAGCCCACCTCCTGATGGGGTAAAACAGTCAAAGCTTATGCATTCCTAGGCCTGTTTGTTACTTCAGCATCTGAGCCTGTTGCAAACTTTGCAACGGAGAGAAACAATGTTGCTCTCTATTGTTCTGAATAATGGGGAAATGGAGAAATTAAAGAACCTGCCCCACAAGTATGTAGACCCAGCTAGCCAGATCTCTGGCACCTACTCCCATACTGTTGTTTTTCCCCCGCTAAGTCCTCTATAGCATCTGACCTAATGCAAGGGAACCAAAAAGTGAAACTGTCTAGATTATTTTCGTGTAATCTGAGAGAGAGTAACCCAGGGGCATCAAGAAAGGTAAATTAAAGTTTAGAGTGATCTCAGTTCTTACTTGTAACCTCAACCTTGTATTTTTATTATGGAATTTTAACCTGACAGTCTGATTGAATTTCTCGGCAGAGTTTTTAGAAATATGTCATTGTTTCACTCTGCTCCGTGGCGAAGGTCGATGTCTCTCAGGGACTGTTGACATTTTGCTGATATTTCATCAAGTTTGGCCCTACCACAGAGCTACCAGAGGTAAGTGATTGAAGCTAGAGAGGTGTACTGTAAGGAGGGTGTGTATTTACCCCCTAGCCTGATTGGCTGCACCCTGCTTCTTAGTGGCACTGTGGTGGTACCCCCATCTCTGATCAGTGCAGAGCAGCACTTTGCTCCCTGTCTCCGAATACACAGGCACGCACACTTCTTTTTCCCACGGCCTGTAGACCTCACGAGATGCCCTGATGTATTTGCTACAGGTTGCAAATTGCATGACTGTGATAGCTGTGACCATGGCTTCTCCTTGTCAGGAAGAAGAGAAGATATCCCTGCTCTAGCAAACGAACATACACACTGGAAATTCTAGGTGGTAATGGGATGCCGTAAGGTCATTTAATAGTCCTGAAACGTGTATTTCCTTACAGAG